GCTAAAAAAATTGTAATTTCTCAAATAATTCGAAGGTATCAACATTTCCCTATTTTCTTTTGATAATATATCACCAAATTAACCTATTACTCAGTCTTGGCCCAACAATTTCCATCTCTGCAAATACTATCTCAGATTTTGGTACAACCTTTTCAACTACATTTCTCGCAGTCCCTTTGCTCTTTTTCTGCATAGTAATAACCTAGGATTTTTACTTATTTTCTCTTCTGCTCTTTGTAGAGTTGAGTTTGAGGAATCAAATTCGATCGATCAAATGCTGCAATGGCTCGGTATCGTTTCTCGGAGTTACGAGACAATTGCTCAGCACGAGTGATACTCGCTGCCTCCGATCTCAACCACCACGTGTAGTTTCGTTCCCTCAAAACCGGTTTCAGCCCTCTAAGCTTTACGTTCCCAAACTTCACACCCCATGCGCTGGAGGAGGCGATGAAAACCACGGGGTTGGTGGTAGCGGAGGTGGTGATAGAGGAGATGGCGATGGAAACCACGGTTTGTTGGTAGAGGAGATGGCGATTCCAACGATGATTCATGGAAGGGCTTTGGCGTTCTGGGCCTTCTCCTAAGTGGATGGAAAGACAGAGTTACAGCGGATCCCCAGTTCCCTTTCAAGGTTTTAATGGAAGAGTTGGTTGTGGTGAGTGCTTGTGTTGTTGGAGAAATGTCTACACGTCCTAATTTTGGTCTTAATGAGCTTGACTTCGTTTCTCAACTCTTGTCGTCGGTTCGATTTTGAACTTCACTCTCTGTATCTTTTGGCTCCGACAGCCTCAGCATCTTCTTCTTCTTCAAGTCTCCCTGCTCTCTTTGCAAATTGTCCACCAGGTCATATGTTTGAACCGGGTGCTTATACCCTGATGAACCGTCTCGGTACTTTTGTCTACAAAGGAGTTGTATTTGCTGCTGTTGGATTTGTTGCCAGCCTTGTGGGAACTGCAATCTCAAATGGGTTGATCAAGTTGAGGAAGAAGATGGATCCCAATTTTGAAACACCCAACAAACCTCCTCCTACCTTGTTGAATGCCCTCACCTGGGCTGCACACATGGTGTTAGCAGCGATTTGAGGTATCAAACCTTGAATGGGGTCGAGTTTCTACTGGCCAAGGGACTTCCCCCCTTGGTGTTTAAGTCATCAGTCTTGGTTCTGAGGTGCTTAAATAATGTAGTCGGGGAATGTCATTTGTGATACTCGCAAGGATGACCGGGTCTCAGAGTGTTGAAGAGAAGCCACCAAACTGAAGATGAACAAGTTGATTGATGGTGGTGACAATTTGGAGCCCAATCAGTCGACTGTTAAGTGATTTTTTCCCCGTTCCCCCCCCCATCATCCTTGGCTGTTTTAGCCATAGAATAAGATCCAAGATATCTCCGGATTTAATGTCATTTCATGGGTTTAGATTTATTATTATCTATTACTATATCCTTCATAAATAAAGAGAGAGAAGGTAACATTTTTGTATTCACCAGTGGCAGAATCCATGAACACTACACTTCCTCTTGATTAGAGGCAAGGCTATGAAGTGAAAATTCAAACTAGCAATGCCTAAGGATCCCCTTGACCGTTAAAATTGTGTAAAAAGATTAAAACTAAGCATACAAAAAGACAGGATTCCCATCCTCTTACATGGATTGAAGCAAAGGCCAGACGCAAAGCATGGATTGAAGCTGCACGAGTGTGGTGCTTAAGATCTTATATGACAGCCTCTGGAGCAGAATTGCAGTAAGGTGTGTGCAAGCAAACTAACTTGCTGCAAGTCAAACAGAGAGCAGCAAGACCAACTCCTACAGCAAACCCGCAGCTGCTTTTTCGCATATCTAACCTTACTGCTCTTTGAACTATTCTAATATAACATGGGACCAATCCTCCACAGGCCAAAACCATCACATGGTCCAGACCACTGTAGTCAATTCCAGCCAATATTGCTCCAATTACAGATATTGGGCCTATGAAGCCAATTAGAGCTGCTGCTGCGAGAGAGCCATACCAACTGCCAGTAGCTCCAAAGATGCAGCTGGCCACTGCTGCACCACGGGGAAGCCCATGAAGGGGACAGGAAGGACCATGTGCCGGCCAAGTCCATAAGCTTTTGGTCCAGCCACTCCTAGTTCAAGTCCTTCGGCAAGTGCATGAAAAGCCACAGTTCCACATGCTAAAAATGACTTGAGTGTGAGAACACTCACGGGAAATCTTGTTAGTGTCGGTAGGTTATTAGAAGTTCTTTTGTTAGAAACAATCACCAAAATAGCAGAGCTTGAAACATGGACAAATGCAGCGCCTACAGTTAGTAGCAACATAAGTGGTAAGAACCCCATTTTGGAAGACAAAAGTAGTTGCAGAGGTCGCCAGGCACCAAGGATGAAGGCAATGCCAGATGCAGTACCCATGAGAAAGGCATGCTGTAGACAGAAAGCAAGAGCAAATGCAACAAGAACAAGACCACCCAGTAAAGGTCCAAGACCAAAAAGCAACGAAACAACGAAGCCAGAAGCATTCGCAGAACTGGAGATTCAAAAACATTGGAATTTAGTCAATGAGGATATGAAATCACAACACAGCAGCTAAGAGTAGAGGCAGCATTTTTGGGATAAAAGCAGATGGCCAAATTTTACCAAGGGTGACAAGCCCAAATATCAAGCCTAGTAAAAACTACATCCGCCTAATCCATCTGAATCACCTAGCATGCACAGAAAGATATGACCGTGTCAACACAGAGAACAAAAAGGCATAATATTGTTGAAACAAAATCAGAATCATCGTTAATAAAAGAGGTTTTAACAACAGCAAGATGCAGGATAGAGGATATCAAAAGAAACCCAAAGTAACTGAATTTACTGATGCAATGATGTAATGTTCTTCTCAACAAACAATAGTTCAATTAACTTACTTAAAGTCATGACTGAAGTTTTGGAACAGAGTGCTTAGTGCTTCCATTAATGCTACTGAAAGCGTAGCAGCTGATGCCACTGGAGTTGGCAAGGCTTCCTATTAGAAGAACAAGGACAGAGGAGGGAGGAAACATCATTTCTCTAGAGCAGAGAAGAAAGCATAAAAAAATTAAACATGGTCAAAGAAGATTAATCTTTCCAATTTACAATTTATTGTTCAATAAAAATTGTTCTGTGACCTTTTTAGGCTTTGCAGAAGAGGGTGAAGAAGCTTGGCAAGTTCTTTATATTGTGAACTAACCAATGAAACTGTTCTTCATAGGATATGAGTCAGAATAGAACACGTCTAGAAAGATTATTGTAAAAGCAAATCCTTATTCTTGAAGATTCAAACATTTATTTTAAGTGAACGAATAGCAATACCTTAAATGCATCAGGGAGAACCTCATCAACAGCCATCCAAATCATACATCCAGCAGCAAAACCAGTACAAAAGGACAGGAATTTATTAAATGCATCGGCACATATAAAAGAAGGAACCGCAACAGTTGTCTGGCAAAAAAAAGTTGAGAAGAACAAAAGTTATATTGATTTACCCTCACATGACCTTAATAGTTGACTTTTATCCTTCCTTTTTCCCATTTTAACAGATGAAACACAGTAGACACCTCACTACAGTAATATAAATCACACTTGAAAGTTTTTAAGATTTCTCAAAAACCCTAGAAATCAAGTTGGTACCTATAAATTGTCTGTTGACAATGATCCGCCATTGAAGTTATTTTTCCCGGTCTTTAATTTTAACTAACTTTTATACTTAAAAACCTTTTCTTCTTTTACTATTCTTTTTCAACCTGATCTTGGAAGTTCCAGTTTTATTTGATACAGATAGACGTGCTCAACGATTGACAAACAGAATTACATGATTAGATACCTGAGGTAAGGATGTAATTGTACTTCATAGCATTGCATTCTGCGGAGAAACACCCCTTGATGCAAGAACCGTGCTCACAGCCAATCCCTCGGGTATGTTATGTACAGCTATGGCCAAAGTTACCAAAAGGCCTCGAGTTTAACCTTTTGAGCCGGCAAAGGAAACTCCAACACCAGAGCCCTCTCCAAATGAATGCAGCGTCATAATTCCAACGATAAGAACAACTTTAGTTGCATCAGCTCCTTTTATATCCAGCATGCTTACTTCCCCATATTGTTCAAGAAACTGAAACCCAAAAAAAGATGGAAAATATAAAATTTTAATATCACCTAAAAATGCAACAATACCACAAAATTACAAGTTCAAAAGACAGCATTGTGGATACCATGCAATATCAGCGGTCTGAAACTCTCTGCAGAAGTAATAATGATCCTTCATGATAAGCATTGAAGGTCTGAAACAGAAAATTTGTGGATGGTATCTTTAACACATGGATTGAAAGTGGGGTAAAAACAGTGGTCCTTTATGAGAGCCTAGTTATATGATAATTCTAAAATGGTGATTGATCAAACCTAATAACTGATATGAGGAACAGTGATCACCTTCTTACAAAGCAAAATAAAAATGCCACCAGCTAAAATCCCATCACAACCCAACTTCCAGCACCATGTTCCTGCCCTTCCTGTATGAGATCAAAACTTGCAGCCAACATGACACCAGCAGCCATTCCATTGCATATCCCGGCCCAGTGAGGATCGAGCTCCACAAAGAAAAAAGGAACTGCACCTAAACCAGTAGCTGCAGCCATTGCCAATGTAAAAAGTGCAACTGTGGACACAGAAACTCTGCTGTGACTGCCCTTCTATTCACCCATTTCTTTGTTGTCATCCTCAACACTTATGACCTCCTCCGTACCGATGCCATCTATAACACTGTTACCTACATTATTGAGGGGAGCTCTTATTCTTTTTGAAATTTTGTTTTAACCATTTGCTGTAATGCATTCAAGGAAGACAAGGATGAAAAATAAAGAGAGAAGCAGACGTTTGACTGTAAACAACATTGTTTTTATTTTTCCAGCAAATCTATCATCACCAACAATGAAAGTTTCTAATCAAATTGAACCCCCCCCCCCCACCAAACACCCTGGTGAAGGCAATCCTGCAGTATGTCTGGAAACGCACCTCCGCAATATAAGCTGGAATTAAAATGAAAAACTTTAATGAAAATCGAAGTTTTGTCAAGCAAATGACTCAAATATGACCTGGAAGGGTCATTGGGTATTTCACATGGAATGAAGGGTAATTGAACCATCAAAAGTAAATATAACAAAAATCCTTACATGTGTATAGACCAATAAATTTAAGGCTAAATTGAAAATTAGATTATCATAATGCAACCGTACATTGTTATCAGAAACAATAAACCCGATAGTCGTTTTAACTCAGCAGAGGCTTCCCACGACAAAAATCCCCTGAAAGAAACCCGAAGGTAATTGACAAAATGAACATTAAAAAGGAACTAACATGAAACAAGATCCTTAAGTTTCAAGCTCTCAAATTCAGAGACGAAAGGCATTTTAGTCTCCAATAGTCATGTAAAACAGAAAGAAGGGAGGGAAGCAAATCTATGTAATGGTGGAAAACGGAAGGCCTGAATTTCGCAATCAAGGACAGAAATCAAAGTTTTTTTATTTGGTTGATGGCATAAGAAGCATAAAGGAAACTTAACGAAAATTACAGAAAGGACCGATCTTCAAATATTATTATTTTCTCCGTGATCATATGAAGAAGAGACAATTGGGTTCCATAGCCATAGGAAGAAACACTAGCACAACATCAGCATCAAAATAAAATAAAAGAATTTTATTTTATATATGTCAGCACGATGTTTTCCAGTTTCCAGCTGCTGAAACCCCCCCAGCCAGTCAAACGATTAATCCTGAAATCGGTGACGCTGAGGGACCAGTTTTCGATTGGATTGGATTGTATTTCACTTCAACAATAATAATAAATTTTCATCAATAATCACGGTTGAAAATTTATATCTTTTTAATTATTGAAAATAAGGGTAAAATATATAAATGGTCCACTGACTATTGATAATTGTTTTATTAAGTTTTTTGACTGTTAAAAATTATAAAATAGTTATCTCACTATTTATATATTTTAAGCTCGTATTTTTTCGTTGAAAAATTGATGGTAATATGAGTTGTCAACCTGCTGATTGAGATATTATAAAATATGATCTCAAAATATTATATGACTATCATATCTCAGTCAACATGTTAATGTCTAGCTCAGACAACCAGTCAATTTTTAACGAAAAATGATGAGTTTGAAATATAATAATAATCAGATGATCATTTTGTAACTTTTAATAGTTGAGAGACTCGACAAAGCATCTCCTTATAATCAAATAATTATTTTGTAGTTGAGGGATTCAACAAAACAACATTGTATAGTCGATGTACTATTTGTGTACTCTATCTTAAAATATAACTAAAAATAAAATATAATTTTTATGTATTTTTTAGATTATTTTATTAATTTTAAAATATTATTGTTTCAATACTTATTATCTATATTATCAAATTATTTTAATCATTTATATGTTTATGTAAATTTTAATATAATAATTAAAAGAAATTAATTAAAAATAGATAAAATTTGTATAAAATTCTACAACTCCATTATAAATAATTTTTTAAAATAATTTATAAATGTTATTTTTAACATGAAAAGGTGTTTTTGTTCACCAATATTACAAAATCTAATTCACAGGATACCACTAATTTCACTTGTTGCCTGTGACGATCAGCGAGGTGCAATAGAAGGACAATCATCACTGAGATCACTTCCCGATACACTGGATGAAGAAACACATGCAGTGCTACCATACGATGACGGCTCCGTCGTTGACTTGCCTGAATATAAATGAATGGAGTCCGATGGCGAATAATCGGATTGAGGCATCATTTTGAGTACGTACTCTAGCTGCCTCACCACATCCAACATGGATGGTCGCTTCTCTAGATTGTTGTCGCTGCAACTCAGGGCTAAACCAACAAATCTCTCCAAGCATTCAGATGGATACCAACCCATTCTACTGTCTATTATAGATTACGCTGTCTTCACCTGAGTTTTGTAAACACTAGCTTTAACATCCACAAAAACAATGGCTATTTACCAAATTTGTAAATCATGCACCAAAAATAGCGTTTGCAGCTAATGAAAGTACCTCGCGGACAATGTTCTTGCCATGCCATATTGGTTGCATACCAGTCAACAGCTCCAGGAAAACAACTCCAAGTCTGTATACATCACTTTTGTCAGTCAACTTATGGGTCAGAAAGTACTCTGGATCAAGGTAACCCTGCAACCAACAACAAACCACTCAACTAAACCTCGGTCATGCAGTATTAATGACCACAATATATTCAATGAGCCTTACTCTTACATGCTAAAATATAATTGAACTCACCGGTGTTCCCTTCACAACGGTGGAAACGTGATTTGGCATTTCCCCTTCTCCTTCCAGGACTGGAGCTAGCCGTGAGAGGCCGAAATCAGAAACTTTTGCATTAAGGTTGGAATCCAAAAGAATGTTGCTGGCTTTGATATCTCGGTGGAATACTGGAGGATTTGCTTCAATGTGGAGGTAAAGAATTCCTTTGGCTGAACCCAGTGCAATCCGTAATCTCATCCCAAAATTCAGGTTCCTTTTAGCTTTAGCTGCATATCATGGTTTACATCAATTTTATGATAAAATGTTACAAGCAACGAGTATTTACCAACGACAACAACGTTACCAGCCTTGTGAGCTAGCTCAAACTAAGTAAAGCAACGAGTCCTGGAAATTTCGTACCAGAAAGCCAGTCTCTCAATGTGCCATTGGGCATGAACTCATACACCACATCTGCAAATGAACGATGAGAAACTCTAGTTTCGTCTGTTAAAGGAAATCAAGATTGTCGGTGATCGTGAGTCACGCTGAGAAACTTGTAAAATGTTATGAATAGAATTTCAAGATGTGATAACATAAGATGTTATTTTATTTGGTCATAGTGAATTTGACCAAATGTGAGATGATCCTTCTATTATTATAGAGGATGAGGTGAACGTTGTTACCAGATCTTGGAAGCATTATGACTTCTTATGTTGGAAATACATCTTGAATGTATTATCTGATACACAATATAAGGTGCACAATTGAACCATAGATACGAAACTGAAGATGTTGATACTAATGAATTATTAGTGAAAATAAATGCAAAGACGAGGGAGAATAAATATTTATTACTTCCATTGATGATAGCAAAAGTATTGCCATGTATATTTGCTAAAAGAGCAAAACGAAGTTGAAAACCAAATTAATAAATAGATTAAGATGGTAAGAAGTGTGCACAACATCATATTACTCATGAAGTGACATCACTATATTCTCCTAAATAAATGGAGTAACAAAGCATAAGAATTGAACAATGCTAAGAAGTTCTGAGTTGTCACATATCATTTGGGGTATAGAGAAGTTGTTCTGTTAACTAATAACCTTTAAATAAGGTCCCTAGGAAAGAGAGAAAAATGATAAGACACCATATGAGTTATGAAAAAGTTGAAAATATGTGTTATATAAACACTTGAAAATGTGAGGGTGTCTTAAGAAGGTAATGGTCATATTACCAAAGCAAATGAAAATAAATCCTAAACAATGGATTGTATTTTTTTATTATTCTACTATTTTAGAATGATAGACTGATGCTAGTTGGAATTTGATATTTAAAATATCAACGGCAAATGGATTGTATTTTTTTTATTCTACTATTTTAGAATGATAGACTGATGCTAGTTGGAATTTGATATTTAAACATCAACGACAAATGGATATATTTCGCATTGAAAAGAGAAGTCGTGTTATGAAAATCCTTAAGAAAACTATTATAACAAGATTCGTAATGGAATCTAAGTTTGTAGTTCTAGATAATTCTAGAGAATAAGTTGAAACTGTGCCTAGCGTGCAAGCGCAGGAGGGGTGTAAATTAAATTCATCATGTCGAACCATTGGGTCTTGAAGGATATTCTTGAATGACTAAAACATGTGTCCACGGTATGTTTATAGTATGACTAGCATAGAATTTCAAGTATGATGGTAAGTCAAGATATATATCAGGACTAGTCGGGCCTTCCAAGGGCCTGTTGATATTCTACTAACTACAAATTAAATAGCTTTGAAATTTCTTGAAGGATATTCTTGAATGACTAAAACATGTGTCCACGGTATGTTTATAGTATGACTAGCATAGAATTTCAAGTATGATGGTAAGTCAAGATATATGCATCGTCGACATAATACCATAGACTACTGATCTCAAATTGAGTTATCTCTATTGATTTTGTAAGAATCAAAGGATAACATTGTGGATCCGCTAACCAAAAGGTTAAATTGAGATTAAGTTGAGAAAACATCTAAAGGAATGTGGCTAAAGCCCATGAAATTTAAAGGTGTTATGTGAATAAAAACCCTACTTTGTTGACTGGAGATCCCAAGATCTAGGTTCAAAAGGACAACCTAATTGCATAAATTGTATACGGTCACTGTGAGGGTATTTTATCCCAAGTATGTTCCTATGATGTAAATTGTAATCAAAGTGGTATAGGTTAAGCAAAAAACTTTTAATGACCATTGTGTTTTACGGTGAGCTGAGCAACATAAGTCACCTATATGAGAATGAAGTGGGGTCGCTTCAAGGAGAGTATTGGGCATAGTTCTTTCAAACTCTTGCAGAACCAGACGGATGTCCATGGCTTTAAAAACATACTCATGAGAACTAAACTCTTGTCAGAGGGGTAGTTGTGTGAAATATGTCATTGAAAAAATGGCGAATTTAATTAATGTATTTAATATTTATATTAAATTCATATTCATTTTGACTATTGTAAATAAAAAGATAATTTTTAATTTGAATATTAGTAGGATAATTACTCTTTTAATAAGTCAATTTAAAAAGGTAATTGTTATCTTTTTAATTTTGAATAAAAGATAATTATATACTTGTATATTTCAAGTTAAATAATACTATTAAGTTTGAATGGTAGAAGGAGTTTACCTTTTGACCATTGCAAATTAAATATATTATTTAATTTAAAGATTAGTAGGATAATTACTTTTTGAATATATCAACTTAAAAGGTATTTGTTACCTTTTTAACTTTGAATATTAAAGATAATTATATTTTTGTTTAATTCAAATTAAAATAATACATATTTAAGTGAATGGTAAAATGAGTTTTATCTTTGAATTTCAAATTAAAGATATTGTTATTTGTTTAATATTGAATATTAAAAGATATGTGGTTGGATAAATCTCTTAAATCCTTATAAATAGTGAGTAAACATGTTAGGTTTTTACATCTTAACAAATCTCACAACTTAGTTTTTTTCAAGAACTTCTCTTAATCTTAAAAA